CCGTGAGATCGTGACCTGGCTGAAGTCGGACACTTAACCGACTGCGCCACCCAGGCGCCCCAGCCTAACCTTCATTTTAAACGACGCCCCTGGTGCTTCTCAGGACAAGGACTCCGCCGTCCGAGGCCATGACCGTCCTTATCTGGCCCTTCTGGGCCCGGGGCGCTGCAAGAACTCGTTTATTTCCTGAGGGGCGGACCGTCCGGCCGGGCCGGGTGCTGGATGGTCAGCGAGCCGGCCGCTCGCCCTGGTGGGCCGGGTGCAGGCCCAGGCAGCGGGAACCCACGGTCTGCCCTTGAACACGTCCTGGCCGGGGCACCCGCCCGCCCGCCGCTCCAAGTGCAGCTTTGACCCCCCCCCCCCCCAACAGCCGCTGGCCTCCGCTGGCGGGAGCGTGTGCACAGCAGCAGCGACCCCGGACTCACGCTGGGCGTGCCGTGTGTGTTGTCGGACTGTCCCCACCAAGTGAGCTAGACGGAGGGATGCGCTAAGAAAAGAAAGAAGACAGAATTCGCCCACAGGGCCGCCCTGTAAGGTCCTGCGTGCCGTGGACCCACGCGGTTCACATCCGTGTTGCTCGAGGGTGGACGGCACCCGCAAGGTGCTCCCAGGTCCACGGCCCCTGAGTTCACACTCTCTCCCCTTCAGACCAAACGAGAGACGCCCCACGGGTGAGGCCACCGCGGGCAGCGCGAAGGGACAGTGTGCGGAGGTGCCCCCACGAGCCGTCTCTGGGGAGCCAGGGTAGCGGGGGGGGGGGGGGGGGGGGGGCAGAGCGGCCGGGTCCTCCCCCCTTCCGGCCCCACCGGCTCCACCCGCCCCTCCCGTCCCTCCATCACCACCATCCGTGTTGCTAGGACAGAAGAGGGGGGCCACCGGCCCGTGTGCCCTAGCCTGACCGCCCGCTGGCTCCGGACGGGGCTGCGGGGCCCACAGTGGCTCACATGTGCTGCTCTGAGCCTCCCCGGGAAGGTGGCAAATACAGACACACACACAGACCAGTCTTCATTACTGTGGGTGTTGTGACGATGCCAGGGCCCAGACGGGGCCAGCAGAGGACGGGACTGGGGACCTCCAGGCTCCGGATGAGTGACTTCCGGGGGCGGCGATGGCCTCCGCGTTGCTCCCGTGCACGTGAGTGACTCCTGGGGGGGAGGTCCTGGGGGGTCCTGGGGACGGCCCCGCACGACGTGCATTGCCGATCACGCTGTGAATTAAACACAGAACATAATTACCGCGGAGCAGCCCTTAGAGGACAGAGGATCATACACAGAACAGGCGTCACACGGTCATCCGATGTGCGTTTCTAACGTGCTGCCGATTAAGATAAATCTGAGCGTAAATGACCAGAGTAATTGCTCTCTACACCTCGTCTCTGTGCCCCAGGGAGCGGCCAGCACGGCCACTGGCCTCCGACCAGATCAGAAAGGGGCCACCTGGGGTCCTGGAGCCACCAGGGGTGACCGGGCATCTTTGGAGCTCCACCCAGACGGATCAGCTCTTCCTCTCCTCGCCCCGGGAGGCGGGTCCCCATCCGGGCCCCATTTGCAGATGGGAACACTGAGGCAGAGGGGCCAACATTCCTCGTTCAAGGTCAAACCACCTGTGAGTGCCAGAGCAGGGATCAGAACCCCGCCCCAGGGTCAGCACTTTAGAAGTGAACGTGTGTATGTGCGTGCAGGGGCACGGCCACGCGTGCACACGGACATGTGAGCACACGTATGCCCCCGATTTGAGTCCACACCCTCGGTTGCTTCCCGCCCTCCCCCAAGGCGTGGCCCTCCCCAGGCTGCACGTCGGGAATTTGGGGAGGGCTGGGTGGGCGTGGTGCTCAGGACCCAGCAGCCCCCCCACTTCGGAGGGAGGTGTCCCGTGGGAGGTCCTCGCACCGGTGCTGCGGGAGGCCTGTCCCCGGCCCAGGCCTCTGGCCAATGCGGCTGACGGTGGGGCGTCCCCCGGGGATCCAGCCAGGAGGCGGCTCTCCCCGGCCACGGTGGCCCCGTTCCCCTGGGGCCTCTGTCCTGCCTTTTCTCCCCCATCTTGTGTCCACACACTTACCTCGTAAGTGTTAACCGTAGAGGTTTCCATCGGGACTTCGAAGGCCTGCGTGGCAGGACACCAGGCGGCTTCCGCATTCCCAGTGCTGCGTGTGGCCGCTTCCTTCGGGGGCGTCTTGGAACCGACATCTGATAATTGTGCCCGGCCCTCCCTGCACGGGGGCGGGGGCGTGCCCTGGACCAGGACCCCCCTCAGGGCCCAGGGCTGAAATCCTACCAGAGTGACAGACTTCGCCCCCAGCTCTGGGGGCCGTGTGGCCGTCCCAGTAAGGACCCGCCTCGTTAGCAGACCTCCCTCTTGTCACGCCCTCACGTGCTGGGCAGGGTGGGGGCTCTGGGGTCCCCTCTCATGAGGACATTAATCCCGTGACGAGCCCCCCACCACTCCACGGGGGCCAGGCCCTCAGCAAGAGAACATTCGATTCATGACACTTGTCTCTGCCAGTGTGCCGCCGTGGGGCCGGTCGGATCCTCAGTCTTCCCATCGGTAAAATGGGCAATTCCACCCCCCTGCAGATGGGGACACGCGGCTCTGGGCACAGGGGCCACCCTCCCCACCGTCCCCCCATCTTCCCTCGCCCCGTTCTTCCTCCTGCCCTTCCAGGCCTGGGTCCCAGGACTCATCTCTGCCGCACAGGACATGTCCACTGGGAGCTTTGAGGCCACACGGCTCCGGCAGGATGCAGTGGGGCCAGGGGACACGGTTCATGCTGTGGGGTGTGAGCGTGTGGACTCAACTGACCCCCTGACACACTCTGCCCCAACTCCTTCTTTGGGTTCTTGGTCCAGATGCCGAAGCCAGGCTGCCATCTTGGAACACTGGGGTGGGAAGGGGTGGGAGGGGGTGGGAAGAGGTGGGAAGGGGTGGGAGGGGGTGTGAGGGGGTGGGAGGGGGTGAGAAGGGATGGAAGGGTGGG